GTTGAATTAATTAAATGATACAGTATGTTAAAAAGGAGATGTTATTGTTTTTACTACTGCACTGTTTTTCAATCACCATGCTAAAGTTATAGGTTGGAGGGGGGGGGGGGGGCTCAAACTTTGTTATTCCAATCAAGGGAGCCTCACACTAAAAAAGCTTGGGAACCACTGTTATAGAGTACCTTTCAGAAATTTTACGACTCCAACAGTGATAAATTGAAAACATTATGGGAAAAAAATGTCGTGACCGATAATAATTGACGTCTTGTTTACGTTTTCTTGAAACAAACGTCATCAAAAGATTTTCTTTTAATTTCATGTGATACATCTGTAGTAAATAAACAAATACAGATGGCCCTAAAACTATGTAGGTTTTAGTATTATTATTATTATCAATCAGCTCGATAGTTTTCAATGCTATAATTCGGGGCTCGATCCCTGCCAAATTCCTTGCGCTAAAATGAAACAATTGTTATTGGATCTTTTATTGCGGTATCGTGATTTCTTTTCTCTTTTGATGTAGCCCATTTTATCTCTGTTTTCTCGACTACACAGTGGTTTTATTTGGTCCGAATCATTACTTGAAGTACCTTTTTTTTAAGTAAAGAATATCATCTACGCGTTCTGTTCTTCGTGTTTGTTTTTGACACGTGCAATGCTTACGCTTATGCAGCGTGACAAAACTTTAACCCGTGGCCAAAAAGCAACGCACCTTTATCAAATGTTGATTGGTCCGAATTGTTGAACTTGTGTTACGGGTGAAGCAGTGGACCTCAGACAATTATCGCTGTTACTGACAACACACACACACACACACACACACACTTTTATTGCATCAGATAGCTGCTCCGGTCGATTCTGCGCGCACGTGGATCAGTTCTCGACGAATCCAAAAAAACGCTTTTAAATAATACGAAACCTAAATTAACGATCAATCCGGTCTAACGACTGCATGCTCTTGCTTTATTTTTATTTACGGAATATCGTGTACTCTTAATCTTCGTTATCTCAAAACCCACATTTTGGCCAAACCCTGTAAAAAAAAAAGGAGAGATATCCGAGTCGTTGAGATGTGGACGTGGCCAGTGATGTATTCGGAGCACCTAGATAAGTAAAATAGGATGACATTTATTGTGAGTTTCTGTATCTATCTTTGGGGCTGGATTATAAGGGTTATACAATAAGGTTATCGGTTCTCTTAAATTCCGGATATAAGCATGTATTATATTACATTCACTAACCGTTTGAATTAGAATACTAACAGTAAATGTTTTTATTGTTTAATTTTTCCGAATGAGGGCCGAAGGCCACCTGGAGGGATCACCTGTTTTAACCACTCGCACCACTTTTACAGTAGCGTGTTGTCTGTCAGTAAGTCAGTAGACACTAAAATGACGTTACATAAGGTACGCTTAACGTTGCAATTTGTACTGTCGTGACGTCAGTAAAACGTGCTTATGCCATGAATCACGAGAAGAATTATGCACTCTGTAGGCCACAACTCATCGTGACCTGTGAACTTCAAAAGCAAGAAATACAAATATTTTTTTCCAGGTAATTTTCATTTTATTTACTCTTGAAACGGGACACTTTCCTGCAGAAATACGTGTACTTTATTTTCATTTTTATCTATATTTTCTTTTTTTCGCCGTACAAACACACCACTCGCCGTTTTAATTCTATCGTGATTGCTTTGTTTCCGGACATCCTGTTTTTTTTTGTTTTTTTTAATGACGCTGTTCTGTAACGTGGTTGG